CAGGGGCTCGTGCGAGGATCGTCGAGTCGGCAGAGCGTGCGGGGGTGGTCGAACGAGAGGGGGGATGTCTGGAAGGTCAGTATATGCGCCCTCGAGCGACGCGCGATACAGAGCGATCACGACTCACCTGACGTGTGCAAACAACCCCGCCTACGTTCGCTCTGGCCCACCTACGTGCTCCCTGATCACGAAGGACTCGCCCTCCTGAGACGCCGCTGACGATGGTGGCGATGGCGTGCAGACGTGCGTGCGTTCGCGATGCTACGTTGATGGTGATGATACCGTGGCCGTACGCGGTGGAGTCGTCTCGCGGGGAATGTGGTAGCGGCGAATGCACGACACGCCGTGGTGGTGAGGGAAGCGAGCGCATGTGCACCGGGTGGCTGTACAAGGACGCGAAGACGTTCGAGGCCCAGACGGGCGTGAGTGGCCTTGCGTGAGCTCGCGCGCGGGTCTTCAAGGCCGGTAGAGCTCGCTGGGGTGGTCAACCGAGAGGAGGACGACGGAACTGTGAGTGCATGCGTCGCGGTGCGGCGCGCAATACAGACCGATGGTGACTCACCTGGTGTGTGCAAACGACCCCGCCTACGCGCTCTGTGAGATCCCCACCTCGCCCTCCTGCTGCGGCGCCGCTGGCGATGGTGGGCCGGCCTTGTAGACGTGTGAGCGTTCGTGACGCCACATTGACGGCGATGATACCGTGGCCGTGTGCGGTGGAGTCGTCTCGTTCGGTGCGGGGAATGTGGTAGTGGCGAACGAAGGACACGGCGTGCAAACACGCCGTGTTGGTGAAGAACGTGAGCGAGAGCGACGGCGACTCACCTGTAAAACTGTTCCTACCCGCCCTACGTCCGCTCTGGCCCACCTACGCGCTCCCTGAGAATGAACGACTCGCCCTCCTCCTGCGACGCCGCTGACGACGGTGGCGATGGCTTGCAGACGGGCGCGCGTTCGTGACGCTACATTGACGGCGAGGAGAGCGTAGCTGTATGCAGTAGAGCCATCTCGTTCCGTGCGGGGAAGACGGTAGCGGCGAACGAACGACACGGCGTCTTTGCACGCCATGCTGGTGAGGTGCATGAGCGCACGCACCGGTACGCTGTAGAAGGGCGAGAGCGACGAGGACTCACCTAATGCAGCCTTTCCACCTGGCCTACGTCCGCTCTCGCCCAGCTACGCGCTCCGTAACATCCCCCGACTCACCCTCCTGCTGCGGCACCACTGACGACGGTGGCCCTGTCTTGCAGCCGTGCACGCGTTAGGAAGAATATCTTGACGGCGAGGAGAGCATGGCCGGCCGTACACGATGGACTCGTCTCGCTGGGTGTGGGGAAGATGGTAGAAGTGAACAGGAAGACGGACGACGTGAGCACACTCCCCGATCGGGGAGTCAGAGGCGCCGTGCACATGAGGGGAAAGGGCACCTCATGGAGGCCTAAAAACAGTGCCGAAAGACATGAAATTTCGCATGTAGGTTGTTGAGATGAATAGCTAGTGGGCCCCAACAACGACGAGTGAGCGGATTGCGATGTACGAGAGGAAAAAGCAAAAAGTTGCGAGGACCATAACGGGCGCTTACCGACTGAGTTGAAAGGGCATCACGTAGAAATACAAATAAATTACGCAATAATAAAAATTTAATTAAATGGGTGCTTGAGATATAGAGCAAGGGGGCCCCAACAAAACTGAGGTGATAGAAGTAACAGAAAGCCTCAGAAGGACCAATGTTGACCAAACCACCACCGTGAGGAAACCCGCCCGATTGGAAAGCCTACAGCGCCCGTTCCGCTCAACTGGGCATTGGGGCCCCTTTGGGGCCTCCGAGATTTGAAGCGTGGCTTTCAGATGAGGGTATTTTGAAGAGCATAGCACAAGAATTGAATGTGCTATGGAGGGCCCTCTGAGCATGGCCGTTAGGGGCTAACGGCTCCCGGTATATAGATAGAACTTGACGCCGCTATGCGGAATGATCCAGGTGCAGTTTTTGTCTGAATCTTGGTGGGCGTAGGTGACCACCCCAGCCTGATGAAGCAGCACCCAACCGCGGTTCAACCAATTGTCTGGATGGACCCACTGTTTCACGGTGGGGTATGCAGCTGCTGTCATGCCCCAACCCTGCACCAAGCCATCATCAAGGTTCCTGATGATATGTGAGACTTTAGAAATGAAAAACTAGAACATACCCACTCGAGTCCTTGCGGCAATGAGTGTGTGCTCAAGTTGCACGCCAGCACAAACTTGATGTCTCGTGTATCATCAGCACTGTCGATGATATCATGCAGTAATCCGTGTTCATACGGTTCAGCCCAGCTGGCACAGCATTTGTGAACATCTGATTCCTGGTTAGATTACTGACACATTAGCAATGCAGAAACTCACTGTGAATGTCTACCGGCATGTCCGCAGGCAATGCATATTCGTTCCACAAACATTCTGTCGTGAACTCAAAGTCCTTGGGTGGCCGAATCATGTTGCGAATGAGGCACGCCTTCCCTTCACATAGACCAGTACACATTTGGCCAGCAACATCTTGGCTGGTTGAATTGATGAAAGAAAAATTGGGTGAATGCTCGTGCGCAGCCGGTCGTGAAGTGAGGAACTTCACAAGTTGGATGTCGTCTTCATTGACGATGGTGGACTGGGGGTCATCAGGTCGAGAAAATAGTGTAGGAAGTAGTGTGCAGTGCCCCGTCGACCACTGCACTTCCTGCACGTGCTCCGACAGCTGAACACCTCAGACATCCATGACGAAATCCAACGAGCGAACATTGTCCATCGAGTCGAGCTGATTATGAATATTGTGGAGCAGTGCCTGCAACTCGTCGCGATTGCGTGACTGTAGATATTTGCGCAAATTCGCCGGCTCCAATATCGGCATCAGTGGTGTCAGGGGACGGGAGGGAAGAAGTTGTCTGTCGTGAACGAATATCACATGGTCTTCTTCTCCTGCATCGAGTAGGCCTGCATTGTCATTGTGATGTGCAGAACCGCTGCTGAAAATGTCGCCAGAGTGTAATGACGCCTCCCTAGAAATCTGGTTTTCCTGGGAGTTCGCCTCCATGGACAATTGAATACCAGCCCAGTCAGACTGGTTGTTATCTGACTCTTGGATGACATCCTCCTCATCTGGCTCTGCCTCCAAGGATTGTTCCAATGAGATCGTCGAGTCCAATTCAATGTCGCTGATACATTCATGATCAGATGACTGCTCTCCATCCGAAGGACGCTCTTGCTTGTCTGAGCTGCTCGGGCTGGAGAAGAATAAACGCGGTTGTCGATTAGAACGGAGAGGCCTCGAAGCGCCACTTGCATCAGATGGTTCATACGCATCACTAGCATCGTTGTTGGAAGATAACTGGTCAGTCTCCTGCTGCGTGTCCTCAACACCTTCCTCCTGATCTCGTTGATTTTGCGAGATGACAGCAATATCTGGAACGTCATCATTGGCAGGCTGGTCAGTGTTGATGGAACCGACATCGTCAGCAACGTCAGCATCACGTGCAATTTGCGCCGAGGAAGAAACATTGATTACACGATTTCTATAAAAAATCTGAGCTGGACATCAAAGCTCATATATGAACTACTTACACCCTACTCTTCGCGCGAGCTGCTCGGCCAGCGGCATATGCCTCAATTCTTTATAAAACGGTCAGTTGACAGTTGAAACCTCGTAAAATGACACAACTTACTGGCGTTGCCACTGAAGCAGCGCAAGTGCTACCTTCCTCATGCGATCACTGCCAAAGTTGTCGCGGTACTCCAATCGGTGCTCTTCTTCACTTTCCGCCTTGGCTAGAGCGTCATACTCGTCGTCAGCTTCAGAACCATCTGACAACTCAAAATCAAAGTCAGTATCCTCGTTGTAAGGATATACGGCATCGGGATACGAGATGTCACAGCGTATGTAGTAATACGGTGCGAGATGTCGCAACCGCTTCTTTTCATGGTTTTTGCTGTGAAGATTAGACAACGATTAGCTGAGTGCAGGCATTAAACACGTCAAAATCTCACTTTTCTAGCCATCGGGCCATCCTCTCCCTGCCAGCATTGAGTTGTTTCGCGCGTTTTTCAGACTGACACGAAAATCAGGCACGTTCTTGTCATTGTTACATGAAAATGACTAACCTGCATGGAATCGTCCACCAGAATTGCAGGGGCTAAACGTGGCCATCCTACAGCGCATTTTCCTTCTATTGAGGTATGGCGGCTTTGACGAGCAGGTGCAGAACTCCCAGCTTGTTGTGCGGCGTGGGAGCTCTGACCTTCTTCCACAGGTTCCGTGGTTTGGCCATTCCTCAATTGCATACCTATAGCTATTCTGATGTACGCCACTATTGCGGTGAACGACAGCAGGACTTGAGCATTGAAAAGATGAGCTGAAGGAAGAGATACAAGTACGGTGTATAACACTGTACTTGTGTTCGAGGTGGTGGTAAGAAAGAGAGATGGATAGACACCCGACGTGGCACGAGACAGTTCTAGATGTGTCAGTAATTCCCACACACACAAATGTCATGTGATCCAGCCTAGTACTGACCTCGTTAAATTAGTTCAATATGGGCTGTGACGCAATGAGGGCTAATCACACCAGAACAGACAATCAGCACATTACTGAGGCGTCATTAGTGAAACAAACACGATCACATGACCTAACCCAGTAAACAAGAAGGCACACTCAGAAGCTGCGCTGACGCGATTTATGAGTCCAATTGTCCCTTTTAATATAGTAAAAAGGATTGCCATGCATAACATGGGAAAGGTAGAAGAATGCTGCATGTCCTGACATGTCAGTATTATAATCTGTAAATTTTATCCCGGCAAATGTCAAGGCAAAATGTTTCTAAATAAATTATTACACGGGATATTCATCATCGAAACTGTACAAATTTGGGAGTGATGAGTTCCTGACACATCTGTATTGTATAAAATTTGGGGCTGACGAGTTCCTGACACATCTGTATTGTTTTGAGGCCCGGCTCATCACTAATAATGTCTCAATTCAATGTCGTGTTCACACATTGTAAACTATTATTCCATAATTTTGCGGTCTAATCAATGTTACTGGGCCACCAGCAACAGCCGTGATATATTCTGACGTGTCAGGTTTTCTCCCAACTCGCGATGATTGTTCGTTACAAGATCGGTATCAATTCAATTATTGAAAGATCTCATGACAGAACATCAATAACAGGTGTCACACATTGAAATATTTTAAAGCAGTCAGCTATGTGATGGGTGGCCACCAGAATCAATCAGAGAATGCTGAAATACGGTCAAATGTACAACGGCCGTGAAAATATATACAATGACTGCATCCAACTTGATAAACTCGTACAGACATAGCAAAGCTTTTCGAGGTGATGCCTCCCAAATTATGACAATTTATGATGTGTCAGTATTCATTCCAATGGCTCGGTCTTTCGGCAGTGGGAAAGTCTTGCATCATAGAGATGTAGTATTAGTTAGGTCCGCAAGTGGAATTCACACGTGTGGAGTATTTTGCCTCAGAATGTATGATGTTAATGTCAACATAAGATTAAAAATGGATGTGAAAAGCAGAGCATTGACGCCATTTCAACGATGGAGACTGTTACTGACGCATCAGTATATATATTGAGTTCAGCAATAGCGCATTTACACTGGTTGAATGCAGATGAATGACAATATTGACGTACACCATATTGCAACGAAGCATTACAGCAGTTTCACTGACCGTGTCTGATCGATGGAAATAGTTTCTGACGCGTTATTATTTATCCGATGGGGGCAAAATCAGCATTCCTAAGCATTACAGGTCCAACCTGTGCATAAACCCTTTGATGTTGTCTTCAGAATACACGAGAGAGATAATATACCTGACAGTCACCGCACTGATACGATTTCAAGGATGTTACTGTTTACTGACATGTCAGTATCCATATGCAGCATACCAAAGAAGCAAAAAACTGTGCTCCCATGTCATTTTCATGCATTAATCATTCATTGGACTTGATTTCCTCATTTTGAGCTACATAAATAGACCATTAAAACACATTGAAACTGCAAAGAGGATGACATGAGTCATCTGAATAAGCAGGATTATGTAATGGCTTTATGACATTATGTGATGAGTCAGCAGAATTAAGCCGGATTATTCGATGGATTTACGACACCATTCCAACAAGCAGTCTCAGAATAGTTTTCTGGACATCATTTACAACTAAAAATTCGACCAATAAGAATCCACAAATTGAATGAGAAAGGAAAAGGTATATTTACTGACGCGTCAGTTAATGCAGGGTGAGCTCGAGACATGCTTTCCACATGAGATCGCATACATTGGCATCACTAATGGACACTGAAATCCTTGCTCAGAGTGAGGTCTACATGCTCCAGAAAAGTTTTTGTCTTTAAAATTAAATTATACGCTTGTCTAATGAACTCTTCTGTCGATGTAAAGCTCATAAAATGCGCGAATAAAGTCCAAATGATTAGGTATCAAATCAGCAGTAGGCCGTGATTGTCTGAGCCATGCTGTGAAGTTGTCCAACGTCCTCCAATCCTTGTGAATAGGTCCCAACCCAAGACGTTCATGAATTTGGGACAAGATGGGGGGATCATGCTTTCGTGTTCCGTACGTGTAAATTTCGAGAACCAGGAGAGGAACCATATCTGGCACGGGACGATCAGGACAGTGATCAGAGTCTAGAGGTTGATCTCGAGGATGAGGAGAATGGTTGCACGGATATCGATAGGGGATCCAGCATTTATAACAAAATGGCCAATGTAGCTGCTGTCCCAATTGTTTCTTCCGAATTAGAGGAAGCAGCCGTTCAATATCATTGCGATTCTCATGAGAGTGTGCTTCCTGGCAGTACCACCCCATAAAGTAACATGAGACACATCCGATGGAGACTATCTGCTCCAGTATTTTCACAATCTTCAGAAGCTTCTGCTCCCCCTGCTGTGCTTGAGCCTTCAACAGTTCCCCAGCACTCACCGAAGTTGTCACAAGCGGTACAGGTTCAACTTGCTCTAGTTCTGCCTGGTAAGTGAGTTCTTGAAGTATGCGGACATCCTGAGACTGTGAGGCGTTTGTTAGCGGAAACAACGGACTAACGCAAAAGATGTCCTACCTCAGACATCTTGTTACAATTATCACACCTCTCCGCATTCATCGCGCAGCAAGAATGAATATGGGGATTAATGTCATACCATGCCACTCACCTACAGCTCCTGGTAGTGAGAAATTTCAACATGGAGAGAACACCGACATGAGGGTCAAGTTCGGGGTCCGCCAGAAACGGTTTCTTCTGCCAAAGCACATATGAAAAATATGGATCCCCATCACGACCTCCCCGTCAACTTTCTTGCAGGTAGAACATGGCAGCGTGTGGATCAACATGTACCACCACCCTGACATGCAGAAAATCCACTCCCGCTCCAAATGCCTGAGTGCAACACAGCCAGCGGTGCCCAGGTTCTTTGCCCTTGCACCACGCATCCACAACGTCAGCTTTTAGCACATTGTTCACCACTGGATCACCTTGAACCATCTCTGCATGGTAGGATGCAAGACCAAGCTTAGCAGCAAAGGCCTTGAGCTTCGCGATAGAGGTAAAATAAATTAGGCCGTGAGACTTCTCGTCCAGAGAATGAGTGTTGCAGATGCACATCAGTTCTGCAACCATGTTCAGATCGGGTTGGAAAGAATCTGTCTGCAGTTCTGCTGGTGGAAGTACGGGCTTCACATATCTTACCCGGTAGCATACGTTTGTGCGTTCTATGCACACGCGAATGACGTGAACATGAGTGAGGTTGATGCCTAACCTTTCACAAATGAGGCTTTCCGATTGCGGAAAAATAGTCGCAGAGAGGATGGTGATAGGTTTGCACAGGCACATCAGGTTCGAGAGAAGATCCATGCATTGATGGAACTTTTGGTGGGCATACAGAAGGTGGCCTTCATCCACGAATATTTGCTTCAGTCGATACTTGTATGACTCTGCCCAGACCGAAAAATCATTCCTGACTGCCACGTCGATGGATACCAGCACAATCTGCATCCGAGAGCCATCCAGGTGAGCATTCCAAAGGTCTCCTGCTAAACGGGTCTGTCCCAGCCGATGCTTGAGGTCATTGATGAGGGCGACGAGAGGACTGATGACAATATACAGATGGTCAGGAGACTGCATCACAGCACCAAAAAATGCGAGACTCTTTCCACTGCCAGTCAGTAGAATAGCCAAGACATGTTTCGATCCCAATGATGACTGCACGAGCTCTGCCTGCTCAGGAATGGTCCATCGAAGTGGCTGAGAACTGGGAAGGATAGACAACAGCATCTGAGATAGACCCTCGTGCACGACAAGTGGCTGTGAGCGATTTGTGTGTGATTGGATGACCTGCATTTGAGAAGTGGATTGCAGAGAAGGATGGAGCTCTTTCAGCAGATGCACCAATATCCCTGCAATTCTCCTATCCATAATATCTGTGATCCAAGTCTTCAGATTGCCTTTAAGGTGACCCATCTCCGTGGCCAGATGTCGCTTCAACGGAATAACCAGATCTGTCAGATGCTGCTCCTGATTGTTCTTAGGCAAGGTATCCAAGGTGGACGCATAGGAAGGAGGGAGCAGAGACAGTTTTGCATGGTAACACACCGAAACCAGCTGCATGGCAGCAACCGCAGTGTGAGAAATCTGAGGGATTGCATCGTTAGATTGTAGACCATAATGCTTCTCCGCCACCTTCACCCCATGGTTGAATTGAGAGTGTATAACACGCAGATCTTCGTCGTTCTCGTCGGGTTGCCCAAAATCAACCTTGGCAATGTTGACCAGGATGCTGCACATCACTTGTCAAAAGTCACGGTGCCCAAGAGGAATACGAATGATCCGTTCAGTGTGATAGGACAATGTCTGTGATTGCTTGGTGCTGTTCATCGGCTTCCCACTGACAACGAACATGTATTCCTTGTAGGCCTTGGCTTGTTTCACAGACATGATTTCTGCCACCAACTCTGTACAGGCAGGATAGATGACACTGAATAGGAGCATAAGTAATTTGGTGACCGCATGCGCGGGAACGCGGGCAACGACTGCACCATAGCCAACATTATGCTGTGTTTTCAAATATGTCGTGATGATGGTGCCCAGCGCATTGAGAAAAAAGAAATTATGCATTCCTTGCTCTCCCACCGCAAAACGCAAAGACTCAGCCTCCATTCCACGAGGACATCCACCAAATGTGCAAAACGAGGCAAATAGCAGTTGCGAGACAAGCGCATCGACCTTGAAAAATCAACCCCACATTGCACCTAAACACATTAGAATATATTGCACACAACAAGTTGATTGGTCTCACTTCTGTTAAAAATGAGCTCTCCTGTGGCATCGCAACTGCAATACGTCGAGTCGCGCAAAATGTGCTCAAGTAGAATATTTCTAAACCTTGTCATGCCATTCCATGAATCGCTAAGCACCGAGGTCCCAATCGCATCCTCAAAAGGATTGTCGAAAAAACAATTCTCCCTGTTAAGGAGGTCCATCTTGGAGTCTATGTGGCTCCAGAAATCCTTCAGATCCAACGAGCCGCAAATGGCGAGGATGCTCTCATGGCATTCATTGATAACCTGTAAAATACCGGCTTTGAACTGCTGCAACGTGAGAGGTACTCCATCAATGGACAGCATGGAATGGTTTACATCCCACATAAAGTGAGGTAAGCCGGGCTCATTGTATGTGAGGGTGGACAGTAGAGCCATCCTTTGCCGTAGAGGAGTGAATGTTGTTTGTGGACTGTCGGTTAGATATTGCTGCATATCAGCCACATATGCTCTATACAAACAATAAGCTGAAGAATCAACAGATAAATGTGATCGCTCACTTGACATCGTTGTTATTATGGTGAACACTACGGTAAAGAGTTTCTTGAGCGGTGGTCGCCCTAAAGCACCATTGGACCTTGGATATATTCGGGGTAATCCTCGCAGCGGCATGCATGTTTCCATGATTGTCTCGAAGATGATATGTGATCAAAAAGATAGAAAATAGGTCCTTCCACTCTGCCTTTAGGAACCCATCGCTGCGACAAGTCAGGATGAAGAGAATCACCCGGTGAATGGTTGACATCCACCGGCTTCTGGAGTGCGAGCCTCCAATGACATCGACAAGGGCATCCAGCGATTCTCGGTGCATGGGATGAAACTCGACTTGAAGGTCCGGCAATGGCTGCTGATGATGTCGCAGAAGAAAAATCACAAAGCGAGTCATAAAATCAGAGTATCTTATGATAGTGTCGCGCTCTTGGGGGCGGCTGAATGGACGAGGCTTCAATCCCTGACCAGGATTACTGGTTGCTATGTGTCGTAGAGTGAGGATCTGAAGATCTAGAAGACGATCTGCAATCTCGAGATAGTACTCCCTCATATGGTCTTGCAACGCAGAATATCCATCTTCCAGAGAAGGATCAAAGGCTTCCGCGGTGGCACAAAACAGCTTGAGGTCGACATCCTGGATACACTTGTACATTTGGGTGACCTTGAGCACACGGTCTACATGTCGCATATCTCGGACCTGGTACAGTTTGGTGGTGTCATTCAATCCTTTCCTCTCGTTTCGGCTCAACAAACTTGTCAGAAATGACGAGCAGTCCACTTGAGGTGATGCAAGCACCTCTACATATGCACGGTTCGTTTTATTGAGGCCAAGGGGATGGGCATCAACTTGCACTCTGTGATGGTGAGTGATGCCAGGATGTACTTGGCGGCAATGGGCATCATGCGACTTTGTGCTCCTAAAAACACTGGGTCCTATACAGCCTGAAATCTCGCATCGCCATGCACGAACAACTTCAACACCTTGTATGATTGGGATAGGTCCAGGAAACAGACTCTTTGGATGGTGCGCGCCAAGTCGGGAGAGCAAGTTCATCAACGATTCCTTGTCAGGAAGGCGACTGCCTTCAGGAATATAGCGGGGGAGTTTATGTTTGCGAGTATGATGAGAGTGGATGTACTCCAAGGGAACGAGGTTGTGGCACTCCATACAGATAACAAGGTTATACTTGTGATCCACTTGGATAGACCACTTGAGAAGCTCTTGCCGAGTTGCTTCGGCTACAAAATCATCCATCATACAGTCAGACAGGGCATCGTCGACTGTAGACAACAATTGGAAATCCAAGACCGGAGGTTCATCAGAATCTGGAGCATTGGTGGCTAAGGTGGATATGTCAACCTGCATACAATCTCACATGGAAAGGTCTATAGTGGCTTGGTCGTCAGAGGGAGTGGGTATATGCGGGGTCGGACATGAGGCATGAGTTATGTTCGTTGGGAACATTAGGAGCGTCAAGAACTTTGGCGGTGTGTGCATCATGATCAACAGAATGAATGGTCTGCTCTGTTTTAGCATTCAAATGAATATGCCATGGTAATGACCCTTGACCTGGCTTATCGTCTGGCAACTGACTTGCATCCTCTTTTACATCAGAAGGATCTTCGTATGCTTCATCCTCGTGCCTGGCAACAGCTTTGGTGTGGTTTACCGTATGAAGAATCGCATACATCTTGTAATAGGAATAGCGAGAATGGCTGGGGTCACCGCATGGACAAGGTATCTTTCCGGTACGTAAATCTCTTTCAACCTGGATTGATTGGTCTACATTCTAGCTCGATATTGATTCCGTCTCAAATGGAATAACGCAACGCACCATTCCACTGGAACATATAGTTTCGACTGTGATAGCAACGATCGTGTGCTTTCTGTGGCTCCAAAACACGAGGACGAGGACAACTGAGAATAGGACATCTATCGGCCAGTAAGCATCACAATAACAGTAATTGAAACCATGGCTGACCGTTGAGGTACCAAGGATGTCTTCGTTGATTTAGGCATCTAGAATCCTGACGCAGAGAGCACAGCGGAATAGAAAGTGTGGCAGATTTTGATAGAGAAAAGCACAGCATAGACACCACAAATAAGCGAAATACAGGCCACCAATCGAAGTATAACTCGAAAGGTGGCTGCAGATCAGGAGGACAGAGAGGGTTTCTTGATGTAGGCACAACTTATCAGAGTATAACCTGATAAGATGGTAATGGTGATGGATAGAGCGACAGAGGAAAGGTGAAGAGCGACAGATGTGTGAGGATGAAGCGAAGAGCGACAGAGGAGGGAGTATAAAGCGTAGAGTGACAAAGATAAAAGGTGAGACGAAAGAAGGGGTTAGACGCCCAATGATCTTCGATCACAAGGTGTGCCCCGATCACATTTGAAATTGATCTTCCATGCGTGGTGCATTTAGCACATGATGGCGTTTACTACGTGTGACTGTGGGATAGTTAGCGCACACTAATCTTGCTGCTAACTTTCATTCTCCACGTTGGCAAAGGCTGCATCCATTTGGTAATACCGAATAGAGCACAACTAGAATCGACTTTGCTGTTCACCGCATCCCTTTGGTAATACCGAATGGAGCGGATACTGACAAGGCTCTTGCTCTTCGCTGTCTACACAATCTGCATCTGTCCACTGTCAAAATCTGACCATCCTGAGCAATAACTCTGATTTTCTATACCACTGTATCGACAACCCTTGGTCCTTCCCCACCGATAACCCATATCTCATCATGAGTCAGCAGTTTCAAAAACAAGAAGTTGAGAATCCAATAGACAAGGGCGTCAGACCTGTTGTCCTCCTAGGTATGTGACTTACTCTCCCCTTTGCCTGCAACCCCACCATTAAAGCGTGGATCCGATGTTTGAAACCCGAATAATGGCGGAGCAGGCTGGTTCATTGCCCTCCAACTATTTACTGACGTGTCATTATTAGGGCCTACTGTGCAGTCCTTGCAAAACGACCAGCCCAACGGTACGTAATTTACTCTCCCCCTGCCTGCAACCCCACCATTAAAGTGTATGGAACCCGGATAATGGTGGAGCAGGCTGGTTCATTGCCCTCCAACTATTTACTTACACATCATTATTAGGGCCTACTGCACGGTCCTTGCAAAACGACCAGCCTAACGGTACATAATTTACTCTCCCCCTGCCTGCAACCCCGTCATTAAAGCGTGAATCTGACGTTTGGAACCCGGATAATGGCGGAGTAAGCTGGTTCATTGCCCTCGAACAATTTGCTGATGCATCATTATTGTAGCAGGGTGCATGGAGCGCATCTCCTTCAGAAAGACCCGGTCCGACGCAGAATTTTCCCCATGATCATGCGAGTTAGGCGATCCCATCTATGTAACACGAGAATTCGATCTCGATGCTGTGGTCATGGAAGCAATGGAGGAAGAATCTAAGCACGAAACTGCAATAGACCAAGATCCTGATGACGCACTGGTGTGCGACGATGATCGACCTGTAGATCTCGTTGACCACTTGACTGAGGCAACCCCTGAAAAGTGGTTAGAGAGATCACAAAGGAGGATTACCACCAGAATCAGCATGGAAAATGGAGGAGAAGAGAGATGAGAGAAGCACAGAGGGAAAAGGCAGACGGTGCAAAGCGCATCTCAAAGAAAATTCGAGAACGGAGGTTGGCTGTGCTTTGTGACCATTCGATTGAAGAGGATATAACCGATACCTTAACTGCAGATGCAAACATGCCACAACCTGGCCCGCAGGAACTGCCTACCGGCTTCTCTCTGGACATGAAAACAGACTCAGTAGCTTCCACCACATTCATCAGCAAATGCATTCCTCAGAAACAAACAGACGGAAAAGGTCTTACACTACAAGAGGTTCTCGCACAAGAAGGCATGCAGCTGATCGAATGGGATGGAAAGTGAGTACCTTACGAACGTACACTGGACATGATCCTTCAGCTCATGCATGTTGGCAGAAGTCCTAGACCTCTGGTGGATTGTGATGGACGCGTATTTGGAGCACTCGCTGGATGTCCTCGTGACCCACAGTGGGGCGACGTGGCAAAGGAAGCCGGTGACTTTATCTTACGATCCAAAGAACTTTGTGTCTTCAGCCCAAAACAAGCAACCCATCGCCGGGGCAACTACCCATCATTGGCAGAAGGAATCTCATATGGCGGAGGTCAGAAGGTGAGCCTCTCAATGTCGCGTCTACTCCAAAACTGACAGAGCATCAGCGTGTCGATAATTTGAAAAACAGCACCAACAACACCAGAGTACTCAACACGCTGAATCAAAATGTGGCCATCTGTCGCCTCACCAAGTTTGGCAATGCTGCACTACAACTCTTTGCCCCCGGGTTGTATAATTTCTATGAGGAGAACATCGCTAAGCTGAAGGAGGACAACCAGAGCCTCTGCTCAAATTTCAATGGCTCAGTTTTTGGCGGTGCGACCTACAACTTTGGCCCCAACGTGGTCACTGCAATGCACACCAACCACGCAAATCTTGCATGGGGCTGGTGTTCGGTCACAGCCCTGAGGAATTTTGATCACAAGCAAGGAGGACATTTAATATTGTGGGACCTTCGCCTTGTCATCGAGTTTCCTGCAGGTGCTACCATCCTCATCCCTTCCGCCATCTTGCTTCATTCAAACGTCAACATAAATGCAAATGAAACACGCTGTTCATTCACTCAGTACTCCGCTGGTGGGCTGTTCAGATGGGTAGATTGCAGATTTCAGACACAAAAACAATTCGAAGCAGAAGGGGGAGACATGAAACGGCTTGGGCCTGAACGTTGGAAACATGGGCTGAGCATGCTCTCATGGTGGAAGGACTTTAAATTATAGGATTGTGATTCGTGAACGAAAAAGTCCGGCACGGTCGTTACCCGATAGGTTTTGATCATCACATAAATACATTGAGATGTTTGGTGCATACTTCCGAGGATTTAAAAGCTAGTGCAGATCGGGTAAGATCCACAGAGGTGGCTTTCGATGACCAGATACTGTCCCTAACAGATACTGACGTGTCAGAAAACGATATTCCCCCAGCAGCGAAAATGCCAGTGAAACTTGAGACATTTAAGGCACATGTTATAAAGAATCAAAACTACTTCGCATGAGCGCATATTTTTGGAGGTGTGTATTGTTAACCAGAAGCCATCGCAATTATATACTGACACATCAGAAAATGATATTCCCCGACCGGGGAATATGTCGACACATTTGAGATGCTTCAGACACATCTTTGAAAGCGTAAGAATTACACGAACTTAGGAAAAAAGTGATACAGACAACTGTTGTCAGACCAAAGCCCTCGCAAGCAAATACTAACATGTCAGACATGTATATTTCGCGACCGATGACTATGTTGGCCATCCTTGAGATGCTTGGAGAGCAAGTTTAAAAGCATAAAAACTAGTTCACATCCAAATTTGTCAATGTACGTAACTTTAAACTACCACTTGATACATACTGACGTGTCAGTAAATGATATTCCGCTGAGCACAAATTATGTCGAGCACATCATAAACAATTGAATAACATCTTGAACAGCATAAAAGCTACGTGTCATCAGATAATTCTAAACAACCTTGAAATTAGCATCTAGAATGGCATCATGATGGGTGTGCTGAACAAATATATAACCTAACCTAAGCGACCGCATAGAAGAAATGTTGACACATGTAACACTTGTATGATGGAGAAGAGACCTATGCAAATGCAGTATGAGTGACCAAGTAGAAGAACACAACAAAATCGCCTGTGGCTTCATTGCGCAACCGCTTCACCATCGATGCCAGATCAGGTGGTTGAGCTTTTGTCGGACTCCTCCTAGTTCATGCTCGCAAATGAGTACACATTGATGTCGTATATGTGAAGGAAGCTTAACAGGCTCACGTTCTCATTGTCAAACGGAAATGATAGCTCACTATTTTGGTTCTGCTCTGCGATCTTGTAACAAACCCACACAACATCCACTAAATTCGTTACACGTTCATCAACCCCCCCTTCTTGCTTGTCTGCACCAGCCATTCCACATGTGCCTTGGCACTAGCGAATGGGTCACTGAAGACAAACTCACAGTCCTGTTCAAAGTACGTGAAGATTGCAGCGCGAATATGCTCCACCTTCCACGCGATGAACGCGATCCCCAGAAACCACGTTTGCGCTGCTTCATCAGAACAAATCAAGCCTTCGCCTTCGAAGTTTCATGGTCTATTCTACAGTACTTCGGACATCCACATTGGGTGCATCGCAGTGCCACTCCCTCAGTCTGTCGTCAATATTCTGTGCAAAATTCTTCAATGTCCAACTTGCAGAATATGTTGGCAAATGGGCAGTGCAGTGCGTTGTTATGGGTGGGCATGCCTGACGTGGCTTTGTCAGTCATGAAACACACCACACAAGAGCCCTTCGACATGTTGATGAACAGAGTGACCTCAGATAGACGTTCATCGACGTTGATGCATGATATGAGGTAGCGATCCAGCATCTCCCAGTCAGATGATAGCTGAAATGAAGATCTGGTCTCCATGGCAGGATCAGAATCTTCTTTATCCTGCCTTGGCATCACAGATGCTTTCTTGACCACTGTGAAGGGATCATTGGGCTGAGACACAGTCAATGGTGGGCTAGGAGTAGGAAGGATGGGTGCATTCAAGATGCCTATTTGGTTAACCGATCGTTAGTGTGTTGATGACATTGATGAACGCTGTGCTCACCATCCTCATGCACTGACGTCTGGCTGACATGCTCACTCGACCATGGGCAAATTAATCCTTCAGTGTTCACCCTCGCACTCTCCAATCCATCTTCAATTGCCTTGAAGCAATTAGCCCATTGTAATGCCATCAATGTTTTGCTAGGCATAGGTGACATGGAACCATCTATTTGTAATGGTATCGTAAGTGTTCGAATGACATCGCAGTGCGTTGTGCTCACCGTCCTGCCAATGACGCTTATGACCATAGCACTCCTTCCCCAGTCAGTTGGACACCTTTGTTCCAACATCAGATGTGTCGCCACCTGCATAGACTTTTGTGTTATGCTGACCAAAAGGTAAATTAATTATTTTCTCGCCAGGGCCACTATGATAGACTTACTACACCAGAAAAATGCTCATGGCAGTGCTCAAGCATCAGCCTGGGAGAAAGAATGGCCCCGCACATCATAACCAGGCACATGTAGCCTTTGTCATGCACCTGGAGGACGTCAAAGGTCTCGTCTGCGGTGAAGGTTGGTTGATTATTGCATGATGAGATTGTTACTTACAAAATGTGCTCATCTTCAGAATTTTTGCATCTTGGTGAGTCACGCAATGAGACTGAACTTGCTCCACCATCTGGAAGGTGACGCCACAGTAGGGGCATATGACAGTAGATGCAGAGTGAGTCAGCATTGGGTTGCGGCACAGTCACGATGAGCCAGGTGAGGATGCGGATTGACGAGAGGAGTGTGGGCTTTCTTCCCTGGCATAGGAGAATTGCATGGATGTGCCATAGACTGAACGGCACTTCGTTGTTCCACTGGTCCGTTGAATTAATCAATTGTCCATGATTCTTGAAACGATTGCTTTCATCTGTCAATCGCTTTGCTCGACTCGGACAACATTGACGATGTGACACCAAATATTGCTTGCTGTAGTCAACACGACATCATAAAGGATCGTCTCTCGCTGTCCATGCACTCCTCGATCTGGAAGTTGCTTTGACATCTTGCATCAATAATGATCGCTCGTTGTGTGCTCACTTCCCGATCAGGGAGCGATTGCGACATGTTGTGATAAATTGCCTGAAAAGCTGTCTGCCCACACCAGTCCATTGATTCCTTCGGTGGCCTAACTGTCAGTTCAGGTTACAGTGTAACTATCTTGAAAATTGAGCAGCTGTGGGGAAATTGCACTGACAGGTCATTGAATGATATTTCCCGAGCGGGGATTATGGCGATAACGACAGGTCAGTAAATGATATTCCCTGAGTGGGGAATATTCTGGTCGTGCTTGAGATGCATTGACCAGCGAATCTGTCAATTAACCTCAATGATATGCCCCGAGCGGGGAATATGGCGATACTGACAGGTCAGTAAATGTTATGCTGGTACTGACATGTCAGTAAATGATATTGCCCATTCGATGGCTTCACCAGCGAATCTGTCGATCACATTTGGAATGCTAAGTTTAGGAGGTGACAACAGAGGTTCAAAATATGACACTGTAAGGTCAGTGAACGATATTCCCCGAATGGAGAATATGGCGATACTGACAGGTCAGTAAATGATATTCCCCGAATGTGGTCGTGCTTGAGATGGCTTGACCAGCAAATCTGTCGATCACATTGGAATGCT